AAAACAAAATAACTTAATACAAAAATAAATACATAAAATATTTTTAAAAATTAAAAAGAAGATGTGAAGCAAATATGACAGAACGCTGCTGTTTGTTTACACTGGGTGGTGAATCCATACACGGTGTGAGCGAACATGCGGTAGTGCATGGGTTAACACACATGCAGTGACACAGGGATGTTATCCTCCATGTGTTTCAGATTTTTCTTCATGATAAACATTTAATGCAGAGGAGGGACAAAGGGTGGAAGTGTCTTTAAAAAAAAAGCGATCTTTGTGACCATTATAAGGGGGGTTCTGTTTAAGAATCCCTTCCAGCTTCCTGTTGGCCATGGAGTCGTGCTGTTGGTTCCAAGAGGCTGTGTCCCATGACACATGCTGACACGTCTTTCTGACCCACCTCATCTCTGGATGAGGAAACCGCTTGCAGCTACTTTCTCAGGGAAAGGCCCTGAGTGCGCTATGTGGCTCGCGGGGCCAGCCCGCATCTCACCCGGAGGAACGTGTGGGGTAACATCCTTCCATCGCTTAGCCTCTCCTGCTTTGAGTCTCCGTTCACACACACTTAGCTTCACTGGCTGATGACCCGTGGGGGTGAAAGGTGCCTTTGGGCAGAGCTCTCCTGCTCTGACGCGACTCGCTCCCTACGTGATTGTGGACCTTCCGAAACCCCCTTCTTCCCCAGCTTCCAAATCCTAGCCTTTGGCGAGATCAAAGCCAGTGCCTTCAATGGAGGACCCATTTCCCAGCGGGAGGACGCAGCCCCGGCTCCTGGACATCACCTGCCCCCTGCGGGGTGGGGGTGGGGGCAGGAGAAGGGGTGCAGGGAAAGACAGGGTCTCCCAGCAGCGCCCTCCCTCCCTTGCTCGCAGCGGGGTCTCCCCCTTCCTCCTTCCCTCGCTGAGCCAGCACAGGGCCACTACATGGGTCACCCATCGATACTTCTGGATGAGTCTGCACAAAGCTTTGGCGTTTGTTAAAAGCAAGACAACAGGCCCCAAATAAAGTCACTTTTGCTGAGCCCCACGTCACGGAACCGAGACTTGATTACAGTCCCGGCTCTCCCAGAAATGGAATCTAGTCCGTCGGGAATCGCCTGGTGTGCACGCGTGACTCAGTCTGCCCCACAGAACCCTGCATCCCCTACAGGAACGTGGCCTTGCAATAACCAGCCCTCATTTCACCGAGAATATGTTTCTTGTTCCGGCTCCCCCGTCTGTCACAGTCTCTGATTTTACACAGCATCTTGGAACGCCTTTCTATCTGCCCGATTGGACTCGATTTTCTCAAACAAAGTCTCACCTGTTTTCACAGGCCTCAGTTTATCTGTTATGAGTTCACTGGGACACAAAGGATGGATATGCACATCCGCTTCCCGCCCTGGGTTGCTTTGTTGGAACCACGGCTCATGCTTGCTTTCTGGGGGGCAACACCCTTCACCTTTAAGCATCTGAGTTCCTTTACGTGGGAGAATGAGCCCATCACCAAGCCGCCCGTGCTGCGCAGCTGTGCCGGCCCGCGGGAGCGCCTGTCGGGACCCCTGGCCCTAGCAGGCCGACTGCTCCCCCACCCTCAGGCAGCTCTGCAGCTTTTACTGCTCTCCCTGGAATGGCTTGGAACAGACTTCCAGGCCCTGAAGCTATTGCCTTTTCTCTTTTCCAGTGTAGGTGCCAGTTGTTGACAGCTAAGCCCTGTGACGTTGGCGTCAAAGACCTGTGATCTCTGGCAGTCTGAATGCAAATATGTCTTTAGCTGGTCCAGTCTAAACAGAGTGCCTTGGAAAAGCCTAATGTCTCAAGATCACAAATAAAGGGAGAAAAGGTTTGTGACATGTCTGTCTCTCATACACACACTTACTTCTTTGTATAGAATTTTCCTTTCCAGCAGCTGGTCTCCAGGTGTGCTGTTGTCATGAACTCCAGAGATGAGAATCTGCAACTGAACTTCAGGCTGCGTGTGCAAGGAGTTTAGCTCTCTGCTTTCTGCACGATCAGCAGAGGGATCTCCCTTGCTTCTTGGTGTTAGCCGAAGCTGGAGGCTCCTTCTGCAGTGCTGGAGACAGAGCACTGGGTGAGACAAGGAGCAGGAACATCCTCTCAGCCCTTGGTCCACTTTCTCCGTCCTGCCTTCCTTCCGTCTATCAGGCCACCCATCTTTCCTCCCTTTCATCCATCCATCCACCTAGCTTTCCTTCCACCTGCACACCCATCCATCCAGTCCTTCGAGGGCCTGAATAGAACAAAGAGACGGAAGACGGGGTGTCTGTGCTCTGCCTGACTGCTGGGCTGGACAGGGGTATTCTCTTGACCTTGCACTGGGGCTGGCAGTATCGTCCGCAAGCCAGGAAGAGAGTCCTCACCAGGACCCAATTGCGCTGGCCCCTCGTTTCAGACGTCCAGCCTCCAGAACCCCAGGAACAAAGGCCTGCTGTATAAGCCCCCGGTCTGCGGGTTTCTGCTACAGCAGCCCTGCACCTTCTGTGCCTGGAGAAGTCTCAGTCGCTGGGTGGGCTGCTCTGGGGGAGGGGGCGTCCCGGGCTCTGTAACT